CCCATCCCCTTTCCTGACCATGGCAACTTGATAACAGACAGGCCAATGCTTTATGGGTCGTCACGGTTGTTAAGTGAATCACCGAAATTGTTAAGTTAGTAACCCGGTGTCAGGTTTCTGAAAGATGCCCTAATTAATTCATGAGCCTCAAGCCAAGTTTCAAAAGAAAACCAGTCATTTATTAGGAACACCATTTTGGTAATACCCCATTGCAGTCAGATCTAACCTCATTTAAATTATGGCCGAACTTTGCCCCTGTTTCTTCCCTCCCCTCAGTCTGTGTCATAAATGACATTCTCCAATGAGATGCACACCTAACAAGTCTGCTGTAGTAATCTGAGATCCGACTCTAGCCGAAGGTATGCGCGGAATACGCTCCCCCCCCATCCCCTTTCCTGACCATGGCAACTTGATAACAGACAGGCCAATGCTTTATGGGTTGACACCTGGTTGTTAAGTGAATCAGGCTTCCCTGTTGACTTTGCTTGACAGATGGTCACAAAAGGGGATCACGTGACCCTGGGACACAGTGATGGTCATGAGTCTGAGTTAGTTGCCAAGCAGTCACTAAGTGAACCATTGTAAATTGAGGACTTCCTGTAGAAGCCACATTAGAAAGGCAGGGCCTGGTCACCCAGTCCTGACTGCCATCTTGAGTTTTTTGACACACACCTCCCTCAGATGCCCCTGAACGTGGGTTCAATCTCTTATTCAACTCAACCATCTCCAAGAATGGGCAGGTTGGCCGTTTTGAGAGAAAGCAAGCGAGGAGCTGTCCGTCTTTGGAACCTGCCCAAAAACCATATTACTGAACCGTTAAAAAATGTGAAGCATTTTAAAAAGAGAATAGAATTCCTTGCAATATATTGAAGCTGGTTTAACGTCCCTGGAAATATCTATTTACCATGGTGACACAGTGATGGGAGTGCAGTACTGCAGGCAACTTCTGCTGACTGCCAGCTGCCTTCAATCTGGCAGTTCGATTCTCACCGGCTCAAGGTTGATTCAGCCTTCCATCCTTCTGAGGTCGGTAAAATTAGGTCCCAGATTGTTGGGGGCAAGAGGCTGACTCTGCAAACCTCTTAGAGGGCTGTAAAGCACTGTGAAGCCGTATAGAAGTCTAAGCGCTGTTGCTATTTGAGGCAATTACTTGCCGGGAAGGTTGTGCATATTGGTCTTCAGACTCGGACCCCTTTCCTCTTGATCATTTGGGGCACCAGCCTCCTGCCACAGGAGGGCCACCCTCTATATGAAACCTCCAAAAGCTTGGAGCATTTTCAGCACAGGTAGTCCTTGATTTACGACCATAACTGAGCCCAGGATTTACGTTGCTAAGTGAGAAATTTATTAGAGAAGTTTTGCCCCAGTTTTACGACTTTTCTTGCCGTGCTTGTTAAGCGAATCTCTGCAGTGGTTCAATTAGTAACGGCTGTTAAGTGAATCTGGTTTCCCCAGTGACTTTGCTTGTCCGAAGATCGCAAAATATGATCAAGGGACATAAAGATGAACAAGCTGTCAAGCCCCCGAATGTAAATCATGATGCGACAACAGTCATAGGTGTGAAAAATGGTCATTTTTCAGTGCCATTGTAAATTCGAATGGTCACTAAACGGATTGTTGTAAGTCAAGGACTACCTGCACTCGAGGTCCACCCCATGAGATAATTCTGGAGTGCTTGTTTTGATAAGAAAGAATCTCAGTAAAATTATGGGCTAGGCAGGAAAGCTTCCCCTGCAAGGTGAGGTTGAAGGGGGCTCCGGCAGCTTCCGTGGGGTGCCTTGAAGCTGCTTTCTACTAGGCTGCCCAGACCCGGGGATGCAGTCCCTTGGAGCTCCTTCCTGGGGTCGGGATGGGATCTGATCTGGCTCTTTTTGGTTGTCCTTGCAGGCCTGCTGGTGTACTTCAGCTACGGCATCTGGCACAGCAAAGAGAACCTGCGGGACTCCCCGACACAGGAAACCCGAGCCCGCTATGTGGTCTTCCCGAGCAGCAGCTTGGAGGAGACGGTGCAGACAGTGCAGCCCAGGACGGAGCCAGCCCAGGGCCTGCCAGATGCCCAGGAGAGTGGCGAAGAAGCCAAGAGATGACCTGGGAGGGTCCGGCAGAGGCCCTGCTTCCCTCACCCACCCATCCCATCCCGCCCGTTGCTCTCCAGTCTGGTCAGAGAAGAGCACAGGCAGGAAAGTCTGGGGAGAAACCAACCTTTTACTGCCGGGGGGGGGGACTCCCCCACTTCTCCTCTCTTACCTGGCCTCGCTTCTCTGACCGGAAAACTGAACTCACCTGTTTGCCGGATGCTCTTCAGAAACGGCTCCTTCGCTTGTGCCCCAGCTAAGCCACCCTCTCCTGTGCCTCCTTTGTGTCATCCACTTGCTCCCCTTCCCTCCCTCTCCAACCTGCCCTCCAAGGGGCAGTGCCAGGCCTGCCATTTTGGGGTCTTGATCAATCAGTGGAGGAAGGCAGGGTGTGTGATGTATGCCTGGATGCTTGGATGGGCTCCTGCAGGGCAGGGACAGGGCTGTCAGAATGACAGACTGAGATGAGCTGATTTCCCAGTTTTGATCTCAAACAGAGTCCTTGACCACTAACAAAGGCACATCTGAGAGCCCAGATATCTCTCTCTTGCACAGACCATGGGATGTAATCATCACACCCATCCAGCTAACACAAGAGCAGGCATTAAGTGTGCGGTAAGCACACTTCCTCCTGCACAAACCTGACCCTGGGACACTTCTCGGGTGTGAGGTGGGGCAGCCTTGGGGGTAGCCCCATGGACTGAGAGAGAGGAAGTGAGAAGGGGAGCCAGTAGAGTCCACCCATTGCAACGAGGCATTGCCTACCCATTGGCCATGGCAGGAGGAAACCAAGGCTGGTGAAGCAAGTCGACATAGCATCCTCGACAAGGCAGGAGGAGGTCCTTCAACTCTATGGTGGTGGCCATCTTGCTTTTTTTGACTCTCTCTTCTCCCAGACAGCCCTAGAGTAGGGCTCTCCAACCTTGACAACTTTAAGACCTGTGGACTTCAACTTCCAAAATTCCTCAGCCAGAAGTTGAAGTCCACAAGTCTTAAAGTTGCCAAGGTTGGAGACAGAGGTGGGTTGCCAATTTTTTACTACCAGTTCGGGTGTGCTCCTCTGTGCACTCTCCCGCACGTGCAAAAGCATCCGGGAGGGTGGGCAGAGCCTCCCGCCGCTGCTACTACTGGTTCAGCCGATCCAGGAGCAACCCACCTCTGGTTGGAGACCTCTGCTCCACAGCCCCGATGTGGAGAGAAATGATGGAGGGAGATCAATGGTGAAATTCAATTTTTTTTATTACTGGTTCTATGGGTGTGGCTTGATGGGCGTAGCAGGGGAAGGTTACTGCAAAATCCCCATTCCCTCCTGATCAGCTGGACTTGGGAGGCAGAGAATAGATGGGGGCGGGGCCAGCCAGAGGTGGCATTTGCCGGTTCTCCAAACTACTCAAAATTTCCACTACTGGTTCTCCAGAACTGATGAGAACCTGCTGAATTTCACCCCTGAAGGAGATGGATGGATAAGAAAACCAAGGCTGAACTCCCCCAGAAACAGAAGGCAGGAATTACAGTGGGCACCTCCTCTCGTTTCTTCAGGGTGGAGAAGCTGGGAAACAGAGAACAGCTGAGTTCACACAACACCCTTACCCTAAGGATGTCTGCTTTGCCAAATACCCCCAATGACCCAAGGGTAGGTTAGCGCCACACACTATATCATGCACAACCAACACACACAGAGACCGCCATGCTAGAATTCTCCCAGCTGGACCTGTGGGGGTAGATATGGCTTGGCGTGCTGTGTGGACACAGCCTCTCGGGTGGCTCTGTTCTTCCCACGTGTTGTGAGAACACGCTTTTCGGGGCCTGTGGAACTCTGCTGGTTGGAAAGGCCTACAGGAAGGCGCTTGGAACCAGCCTGGGCTGCAGGGGTTGCCTTCCTCTTGCAGGGTTGCAAGGGGGCTGCCCTCCTACACAGACCCTCACCCAAGGGGGCAACAGCATTTGTCCCCCCGAAGGGTGCACAGAGCACATAGGAGTGGTGAGCCCTTCCTGTGAGAAAGGGCTGCCTCTAGGTCCATGCAGGAGGGGCCGGAGCAGGGTGGAAACAACATTTGGGGAAGGAAGAAATGCCTGCTAGGACAGAGAAGATAGAAGTCAAATTTCATTTTGGGACAATAATGTAGAGGAAGATTGGCTTCCCTTTTTTATAGCTTTCCTCGCTGGGAGGGGCTATTCAGGGTTTGTCCTGCCTGGCGGCCTCCGTTTCCTTTCCCACTGCGCACTTCTTCTGCTTCCTGCTTAACTGTGTGCTGGCCGTGGGTGTGTGTGCGTGTGCCCTGGCCACATCCTTCCTTTTCCTTTTGTGTGGTGACTTGTGCAATGGCGTTTGGCCAAGAAGCCAGCCAACTAACGATAAAGACTTGTCTTTGCTGGGCGGGCAGTTCTTCAAGTGATGTTGTGCAGATTATTTCAGTCGGCAATGTAGTGTGCAGGCAGCCTTCTCCCCTCCCACTCGGAAATCTTAAATCCACACCTGTTCTTGTGACAAAAAGGGAATGATGTTAAATATAGGAGGAGCAACTGTCTCAAGTGTTAATATAAATTTTAGGTTTCTTACAGCAAAGGTGTGGCTTACCCGAGCTCTAACTTTATCGGGAGCACATCCTTTGCACATCACTCCAAAGACAGAGGCAAGGCCTTGTTCCCACCCACCCTGCTCACCTCAAGCCCCCTTGTTCAGAGGTGCCTCAAGGCTGAGCTTTGCCACGACTCTCCATTCCTTCCCACTCGGATTACCCCACAACAGTCATCACAATAAGGTTGTGTTTCTGTAGAAAACTTTTTAAAGAATCGCGCTTCTGCATAAAATTAAAAGGCATGAATAGGCTTTTTAAAAAAATCATGTCATTCTATAAAACAGCGGTTTCTAATAAAATCCATAAGTTTTTCTTGCAGAGCTCTCACATCCACCAGGTGGCATTCAAAGGACTGTAGCACACTGAGCATCAAACACTTTTCTCCTATGCGCTTCTCCAGCCTTCAAACTCCAGGAATTTGTTAAAAAAAACAAAACTGTAGGGACTAGCTGGTTAAATGGCCTAATCAGTTAGTTAATGACAATATAGCGTACAGCTCTGGTTACTTGATTCTCAAGGGGAGCAAAACCCAAAGATTTTGCTAATTCTTTTAAACTGGTGTGTGAACTTCTATCATAGCAATGGCAAATTGAAGTCGCTTCCTGATTCCAATCTTTCTAGTTAGGGATATCTAACTATGTGATGCATTTAAGGCTGGTTTTGAACCAAAACCCAGTAGCTTTTCTTAACTTCTGCATCAAAACAAAGATACATGTAGGTACTTTAAAGTCTGTCATCTTTAAAGAATTGCTAGGTTTCTTGCCTTTTTTTTTAACCTGCTTTTTGAGGCATGTCTCTTCTGGAGCAGATTCATAGCACAGAGAGAATATATGCTTCAATAGGAAAAAATGGGCCAGAGAGGAAAGATTAATAAAGACCCTTATGCTAATTTACCCAGTGGATTTTATTTATTTACTAGACCACCTGTGCCCTGTTGGGTCATAGTTTTAGAAATATTTCCTTGCCAGATTCCTCAGTATCTTTAAGAATGTACTTGAAAATTTCTTTAAAATTCAGGATGTATCAGCCCTGTAAGTAGCCAGTGTTGAATTGTATAGTACAGTCAAACATTTACTACAAGAAATGTTTTATAACATTTTCTATTCCTACATAAAATGCTAATTTTATGTCATAAAATATTGTATGAAATTTGCCAAATTTCAGCTCTACAAGAGCTGTATGTCCCAGACTTTGGAGACACATTCTGTAAGTTAGCCCATCTGAGGTACAACTGGCTGAAAAAGGTTTTGGCCTATGATGTACCTTTTCACCCAACTAAAGGTTATAGGCAGGAGAGTTTTAGGGGTGTATAGATTTAGATTTATTTATTTATTAAATGTATATGGCTGCCCATCTCGCACAAAGTGATTCTGGGTAGAATACATCAAACTTAGCAACAATACAATATTTCTCTGACAAGATTGGCAAAACTGAAGTTTACAAAAATAAAAAAAAATAAAAAGAGAACTGGAGTGAGATACATTATTTACTACAAATGGCCCCATATCGAGCAAACATCATGGACATAATCCACTGCTTGACCCACACATTTTTTGGGAGTGGGGGTACCCTTCTTTCCCCAACTCTTGTTGCCTTCTTCCTTCAGCTTTCTCTCGACCCCAACCTTCAATATGGCTTGGAGCTGACCACATGCACCCGGAAAGTTGTGGCCTTGGACCCCCTCAGCCAATCCACCCCGAATTTCACTACAGCTGTGTGAATATCCCTTACCATGGTGTGTGTGTGTTTATAGATGGCCTTCAGCAGGGGAGAGTTCAACCTTCACCATGTCTGGCCATTAGAACTGGTCTGCCTGCAGTGGAGGTGGGGACTTCCTCTGGGACAATGTCCAGCCAGGAAGTCTGCTGGACATTCCTGGCCACTGGAAATGTTTTCAGGGGAAGCTGTGCAGGTTACACAAGAGGAAAGGTTGATATTGAGGATGGCACACAGGATAATTTGGCTAAAAGTACCGGGACAGAGTTTTGATAGAGGAGCAGTTCCCAAACTCTGTGGAATGAGAGGGAATAAATGCATCCAAAGTTTCTTCCCAGATTTTTATCGGCTTCCTCTTAGCCTCCACTGAGGTCCGCTCGGACAACCTGCCTCATCAGATCACTGGAGGGTTTTGCCTCAAAGGGAAAATTGCTAGGAACGCTTGTGGCATCATGTGCCAATGGATCCCTTTGTGTTGCTATGAGCAGGGTATCCAAATCCTTGCAAGGAGATCCCTGCAGCCAACATTCAGCATATGAAAAGGTGGCATGTCACACAACATGCTGGCTCCAGCCCAAAGAGAAGCACGGAAGTGGGGAGGGGATCAGAAGGCCTGGACCTCTATCAAGCATCACCAGATGATTCACGGGGTCCTCCCATCCAGGACATCAACAAGAAAAGGCTGATCTTCCAGGGCCACCAGGAATCTCTTTAGGAAACCTGCAAATGTAAGAAGATGCACAAGTCCAGACAGGGCACAATGGATGGAAACTGAACAAGGAGAGGTTCAATCTGGAAATAAGGAGGAACTTTCTTATAGCGAGAACCATCAACCAAACAAACTGAAGTTGCCTTCAGAAGTTGTGGGAGCTTCATCCCTGGAAGCTTTCAAGAAGAGACTGGCCTGCCATCTGTCAGAAATGGCGCAGGATCTCCTGCTTGAGTAGGGGGCTGGACTAGATGACTTACAAGGCCCCTTCCAATCTATCTGTAATTCCACCAAGGAATCAATGCCACTGTTTTCTGTCACCAGTGGAATTCTCCAGTTCCTGATGCAAATTACGTCCTTTGGAAAGCAACTGGAGCTAGAAGCTTGGCTGGCTGCATCCAAGCCTCAAGTGCTAAGAAAGGCTTTGGGAACAGGTGGGCTACTGAGCGACAGAATCAGGCTTGACACCACAGCGATGGCCATGCAGAGCTGGAATCCTCCATCTGGCCAGGAAAGGATCTAGTGCAGGGGCCATCGCAGTTGAAAACAGAGCTTAGGAGAACCACCCAAGTTCCATTTTCTCTGGCAGAGACACCATGGGCCGGTCCTTCATTGTTTCCAGGGCGGCCCTGTGGGCCAGATCTAAGCACCCCACGGGCCTTGAGTTTGGCGCCCCTGGTCTAGTGGAAGAAATCATCTTTGGTCTGGCTGGACACCCCCAGTGCTGCTGTGCAGAAGCAGTGCACCATGGGCTGCGGAACCTCCTTTCCAAGGGTGTCTGGAACCACCTAACATTCCTTGGACAGAGGTGGTCAGAGCCAGTAACTGAAGTCGCCTAAATATCGCCTAAGGCCCTTGTATTGTTTTCCCTGGACGTCGGGGAATCCAGATGCTGCAGGCATGGACAATCAGGGAATCATGGAGAGCCGATGGGTTCCAGGGGCTGCAAAACCTGCCAGGTCTGCTCAGCAGGGACTTCCTGCTTTGGGCAGAAGAACTGATGGGGCTTTGCAGCCTTGTGCTGCCAGTTCTGTCCCTTTTAGCTTTGTGTGCAGCATTGGGATGCTTGGGGTTTGACAACACGGCATATTTGCCATCACATTGAACCTACTCCCCTTAATAGTGTCCCCCCCCTCCCCCCGGCACTGCTCAGCCTGGCTGAGCTGAGACAGTGGTAGGAAGGAACAGCGCTCAGGACAGGGGTCTCCGACTGGCAACTTTAAAGACTTGTGGACTTCAGCTTCTAGAATTCCTCAGCCGGCATGGAATTCTGGGAGTTGAAGTCCATGCATCTTAAAGTTGCCAAGGATGTTGGGGACCCCTGCATTTAGGGCATCTAGCCATGGGAAGACAAGCCTGCTGTTCCCCAGAGAAGCGAAGTTACTTGCTGCACCTTTGGAAGTTTTCTTCTGAACAAGCGAGAGGTTCCATCATGGTGGATCAGAAGGCTGGGGAAAAGTTCTTGGACAGCCTCACATGCCCGGACAAAGTCCTGCTTCACCACAATTGCCTGAAAAGAGGAATTCCGGGCAGTGAGCGGGTTGGAGCCAAAGCTGCCACAATCTCAAGATGGATTAAAACAAAACAAGGTTCCCCAGCAGCCCAACAATCAGTCACAAAGCAAACCTTCTTCTGGCCAGGGGAGGGAGCCAGGTGAGGCAGGTTCACCTGAAGACAGGGACTGCACCAGCTGCGGCCCCTTCTACCTGAGAAGGATAGAAAATGATCCTTCTTGGATCAGAGCAAGGCCCAGTTGGTGCTCTGCAGTGTGGAGCTAGAAACCTCATATTCAGGGCTTGAGGAAATGGCCTTCCCTGTCTATTCTCCCCCACCTGGCCCTGCTGAATTCCAGTCTGAAATGCAGCACCTCTGTAGAGTCCATATGCTTTACCTTCCTTAATGCATTCGCCTAACCTTAACCTAACTTTGCAACCTTCTCTAGGCTTGGAAACAAAGCAAGGGCAAGTTTGGTTGGAAGTCANCCAGAAATTTTGAGTAGATCGGAGAACCGGCAAATACCATCTCTGACTGGCCCCAAAGAGGGGTGGGAATGGAGATTTTGCAATATCCTTTCCCCAGGAGAGAGAGGGAATGGGGATTTTGCAGTATCCTTCCCCTGCCATGCCCACTAAGCCAATTCCTCAATTCCAGGGTGCTTCTCTCTTTGATTAGTTTCCAATCATTGTTTCTTGTTCTGCCCTCCAGTGCTTTGGAGAATAAATTGACCCCTTCTTTTTTGTGACAGCCCTTCAAATACTGGAAGACTGCTATCATGTTCCCCCTAATTCTTCTTTTCTCCAGACTAGCCAAACCCAAATCCTGCAGCCGTTCTTCGTATGTTTTAGTCTCCAGGCCTTTGATCATCTTAGTTGCTCTTCTCTGAACTTTTTCCAAAGTCTCAACATATTTTTTGTAGTATGGGGACCAAAACTGGTTGCAGTGTTCCAGGTGTGGCCTTACTATGTTTTTATAAACAGCACTAATACTTCATGCGATGTTTATTCTAAGCCTCTGTTTATACAACCCATGATTGTATTAGCTTTTTTGGCCGGCGGCTGCACACTTTCCCTTATCCTCTGCTGGGAGATGCAGGAAATGTGGACTGTGATGTCGTGACCAGGATATTGTACCACTAGGCCAGGAGTGGGCAACTATGGCAAGTTTAAGATCTGTGGACTTCAATTCCCAGGAATTCTGGGAGTTGAAGTGTACAGATTGTAAAGCTTTCTTTCTTTGTTTCTTTGTTTGTTTGTTTGCTTGTTTGTTTGTTTGATTGATTTCTTGGCAAACACTACTGGGCAGCTCACAATTCAGAAACATATATTACAACTAAAATCTTAAAAACATTTTAAAATAATACAAACAGTAAAAGCCATTAAAATAATTTTAAAAAACTACTAGCTGCCATAGTTGCCCACCCGTGCACTTATACACTAGACCAAGCAGGGCCAAATTATTTCAAACCTGTTTGCATGTTAGAGGATGGAGGGGTGAAATAACATCTTATGCTTTACAACTTCATCCATCAGGAAAACTCTTGAGCCGAGTCCCCTTTCCTACCCCCAGGCCTTTGGCAACAGCCACTGCTCCTTGGCCCCGAAAGTTGTTCCAGCTGAGGTCGAGTTCCTTCAGCCCCACATTTTCCGCCATGGCCATTCCAAGAGCTTCTCCTGGTTCAGTGTAGAGGGAGACACAAGAAATGGGAAAGAGGCCTGAAATGTCAAACTGAGGGAGGCTTTGCAAAAGAATGACACCCTCTTGGGTCCCACCCCCCATTTACAGGAGCTGCCTTTCCCCATACAGGAGACACGGTGGTGCAGTGGTGAGAATGAGTGTTGCAGGCTAATTCTGCCAACTGCCAGCAGTTTGATCCTGACCTGCTCAAGGTTGACCCAGCCTTCCATCCTTCTCAGGTTGATAAAATGAGGACCAGATTGTTGGGGGCAATAGCCACTCTGTAGACCGCTTAGAGAGGGCTGTAAAGCACTTGGAAGTGGTATACATACGTCTAAGGGCTATTGCTATCCAACCTAATGTGGCTTTTTCTGCTGAATTTCCGCAGAGCAATTCTCCTCACCTCAGCATAGATTTCAGCTCACAGAGGAAGAAGGGAAGCATAGTAGGATCTGCAAGCAGTAGGAAGAGGAGGTTCCCACAGAGCCAGACCACTGAGGAGCCCTTGCTTGTGGGAATCCCCAGAGAGTTCCAGAAACAGCTCATTCACAGACTTGGCACAATTCATAAGGCCATCCCCTTGCACGCCTCCCATTTGAAGAGCCCACGGAGTTGTCCAGAAGACATGGAGAGGTTTTATTCTCTTCCCTCAGATCAGCCTAGCTGTTCCCAAGTTTAGAGCAGAGTTTCTTAAACTGTACATTGTGGAAGCCCAGTTCTCCTCAGGCACTTTAAGATTTCCACAAATTGGACTGAAGATCTACGAGAATGTTTTTGGTGGGTTTTTTAACCAATTTGGAGGAGACAAACCCTAACTTTTTTTAGTTGTGGATCTTTACTTTGCCCCAGCCGGTTGCAGCTTCCAGCTGACCTTGCTCTCACGTAAAGCTAAGGGAAACTGCCCAGAGCTAGGAAGACACATTTCCAGTTTTTCTCTGGAAATCTCAGATTGAAAGTTGACCACCTGTCCTACAAGAAAACATTAGCAGTCCCCTTCGTATTTTGTTTTCAAGAAAACAATGTCTGTAGTAACTGAAGCCAACTCAAAGATCTGACTTGCTTTTTATCCTTTTTCTGGAGTACTCCCCCCCCCNCCACCGCATCCTTCAGTGGGTTCACAATCCGACGCGGCAGGTTGGGTGGGGGGGAAACAATTATGGGGAACATGAGATGTTTCAGTGGGTCGGGGAGCTCTTGGGTGGTCTTAGGCAGGTGGCCTGTTCCATCAGTAAGCCTCCAATGGCCTTCCACACCCTGAAATACCTCCGGTGCACTTAATGAGTCACGCATTCGATTATCGAATGTGTGGGCGAAAGGAGGGAGTGATCACATTCAAGGTACGAGATTCACTCCCATAAATCCTTGGGTTACTAATGGAATGGGAAGGCTTTATTCCATGCGTAACTGGAGGATTACCTGCATTCCCTTTCTCCTCCTGCTCTTCCTGCCTAGAGGCCTGCTCACCTGCTCGCAGCACAACCCACCATTACATCCACCCAGCATTTCTTGTTTGGATTTCCCTTTACTTTGTGTGCCACTCACAACGTCACTGCCCACAAATCCCCGTCGTTTGGGAACTCACAATAAAGGGTGTTCTGTCCCCCACCCATTTTGACAATCCTGCATTGTCATTTCAGATGGCCAGTTTTCTCTTTTTGACCAACACCTACTGAAAAATCCAGAAGTTCCATTGCAGCTCCAGGATTCGTGCGGATTGCTTTGAGGATCCCAAGGCAGCCTTCGTTCTGGATCGGGTTCCTGGACATCTGCAGGGCACAGGAAAGAACAGCCCCCCTCTCTGCATCACCTGCCTGCCTGGCAGGGTTATTTGGATCTTGGGGTCACCTTCCCAAAGGCTCCTCACCTTGAGTCTCCTCAGGTTCTTGTTTCCTTTCAGGCCCAAAGCCAGCGCGAGGGCGCCTTCCAAGGCAATGCGATTATTACTGGAAATAAAGAGAGAAGGCCCTCAAAAGTCCCCCCACTTTCTCTCTTCCTTCCTGCCCATCCACGCAGGCCCACACCAGCTTGCAGTTGGAAGTAAGTTTTTAAAAAATACATCACAGGATCTACCAGTGATGACAAAAGATCAAATCTTCCCTCTTAGTCAAGGCATTTAAACATTTTAGAGCTTCGGGGGGCTTCCGGGTGGTGACGTCACTGTGCTTAGAGCGGGGTAATATTCTGCAGACACCGGGGTGGTAAGGCAAATCCCACGGCAGATAGGAGAAACCCCCCTAAATGGACAAAGAAATATCCTGCTATCTGGTTAGGACTGAGCAATGGCGGCCGCATAGAAGGAAGAAACAGAAATAGAAGCGGTTGAAATCGCGTGCTTGTTGTTATTGCCGACAATCCAGAGAGGAGAACAACGTGAAACTGGCAAAGTGGGTGTGCTGAAAGAAGGAGGAGCCGGGAAAGAGGCTATTTTTTATAGTTCAATTTTGCCAAAAAGAAGCGGTGCAAAGAGGCTGAGTTAGAACGGAAGGGACAGCCGGAAGAACCTTAAGATCAGCCACAGTAAGAACGAAATCCCGACATGGACTTCAGGGAATAAAAATTGCCGGAAAGTTTTGGAAGGTTCAAAGAATTGACTGCTTAATAGTCGGGTTGGTAAACGGAGTTCCCTTTTTTTTCTGCTTACCAGTTCTTCTGCCGCTGGGTTGAATCTTTAAGTATTTGATATTGATCTGACCAGGAGTTTGGAACAGTGCCAGAGACAAGAAATAGAGGTCTGTCTTTTGCTTCGTGGACATTAACACTGACACCAAGGAGAGAGTGGCTTAGAGAGACTAATTATTAGAACTGAATATTGAACAACCGACAAAACTGAAAGACATTTATTGATATAAGAAAAGATTGTGATATATAAATTTATAT